AAGACGACAATAGCAAAGATCAATAAAACTAAAAGCTGATTCCTTGAGAAGATAAACAAAATTGATCAACCATTAGCCAGACTCATCAAGAAAAAGAGGGAGAGCACTCAAATTAATAAAATTAGAAATGAAAAAGGAGAAGTTACAACAGACACCGCAGAAATACATAGCATCCTAAGAGACTACTACAAGCAACTCTATGCAAATAAAATGGACAATCTGGAAGAAATGGACAAATTCTTAGAGAGGTATAACCTTCCAAGACTGAACCAGGAAGAAATAGAAAATATGAACACACCGATCACAAGTAATGAAATTGAAACTGTGATTAAAAATCTTCCAACAAACAAAAGTCCAGGACCAGAAGGCTTCACTGGTGAATTCTAACAAACATTTAGAGAAGAGCTAACACCCATCCTTCTCAAACAGTTCCAAAAAATTGCAGAGGAAGGAACACTCCCAAAGTCATTCTATGAGGCCACTGTCACCCATGATACCAAAACCAGACAAAGATACTACAAAAAAAGACAATTACAGACCAATATCACTGATGAATATATATGCAAAAATCCTCAACAAAATACTAGCAAACAGAATCCACCAACACATTAAAGGGATCATACACCATGATCAAGTGGGATTTATCCCAGGGATGCAAGGATTCTTCAATATATGCAAATCAATCAATGTGATATACCATATTAACAAACTGAAGAATAAAAACCATATGATCATCTTAATAGACACAGAAAAAGTTTTTGACAAAATTCAACACCCATTTATGATAAAAACTCTCTAGAAAGTGGGCACAGAGGGAACCTACCTCAACATGATAAAGGCCATATACGACAAACCCACAGCAAACATCATTCTCAATGGTGAAAAACTGAAAGCATTTCCTCTAAGATCAGGAACAAGACAAGGATGTCCACTCTCACCACTATTATTCAACACAGTTTTTGAAGTCCTAGCCACAGCAATCAGAGAAGAAAAAGAAATAAAAGGAATACAAATCGGAAAAGAAGAAGTAAAACTGTCACTGTTTGCAGATGACATGATACTATACACACAGAGAATCCTAAAGCTGTCATCAGAAAACTACTGGAGCTAATCAATGAACTTGGTTAAGTTGCAGGATACAAAATTAATGCACAGAAATCTCTTGCATTCCTATACAGTAATGATGAAAAATCTGAAAGAGAAATTAAGGAAACACTCCCATTTACCACTGCAACAAAAAGAATAAAATACCTAGGAATAAACCTACCTAGGGAGACAAAAGACCTGTATGCAGAAAACTATAAGACACTGATGAAAGAAATTAAAGATGATACCAACAGATGGAGAGATATACCATGTTCTTGGATTGGAAGAATCAATATTGTGAAAATGACTATACAACCCAAAGCAATCTACAGATTCAGTGTAATCCCTATCAAATTACCAATAGCATTTTTTGTGGAACTAGAACAAAAAATCTTAAAATTTGTATGGAGACACAAAAGACCCCGAAAAGCCAAAGCAGTCTTGAGGGAAAAAAACAGAGCTGGAGGAATCAGACTCCCCGATTTCAGACTATACTACAAAGCTACAGTAATCAAGACAATATGGTACTGGTACAAAAACAGAAATATAGATCAATGGAACAGGATAGAAATACGGAGATAAACCCAGGCACCTATGGTCAACTAATCTATGACAAAGGAGGCAAGGATATACAATGGAAAAAAGACAGTCTCTTCAATAAGTGGGGCTGGGAAAACTGGACAGCTACATGTAAAAGAATGAAATTAGAACACTCCCTAACACCATACACAAAAATAAATTCAAAATGGATTAGAGACCTAAATGTAAGACTGGACACTATAAAACTCTTAGAGGAAAACATAGGAAGAAGTCTGTTTGAGATAAATCACAGCAAGATGTTTTTTGATCCACCTCCTAATGAATAATGGAAGAGTAATGGAAATAAAAACAAAATAAACAAATGGGACCTAATGAAACATAAAAGCTTTTGCACAGCAAAGGAAACCATAAACAAGACGAAAAGACAACCCTCAGATTGGGAGAAAATATTTGCAAATGAATCAATGGACAAAGGATTAATCTCCAGTATATATAAACAGCTCATGCAGCTCAATATTAAAAAAACAAATAACCCAGTCCAAAAATGGGCAGAAGACCTAAATAGACATTTCTCCAAAGAAGACATACAGATGGCCAAGAGGCACATGAAGAGCTGCTCAACATCACTAATTATTAGAGAAATGCAAATCAAAACTACAATGAGGTATCACCTCACACCAGTTAGAATGGGCATCATCAGAAAATCTACAAACAACAAATGCTGGAGAGGGTGTGGAGTAAAGGGAACCCTCTTGTACTGTTGGTGGGAATGTAAATTGACACAGCCACTATGGAGAACAGTATGGAGGTTCCTTCAAAAACTAAAAATAAAATTACCATATGATCCAGCAATCCCACTACTGGGCATATACCCAGAGAAAACCATAATTTAAAAAGACACATGCACCCCAATGTTCACTGCAGTACTATTTACAATAGCCAGGTCATGGAAGCAACCTAAATGCCCATCGACAGACGAATGGATAAAGAAGATGTGGTACATATACACAATGAAATATTACTCAGCCATAAGAAGGAACGAAATTGGGTCATTTGTTGAGATGTGGATGGATCTAGAGACTGTCATTCGGAGTGAAGTAAGTCAGAAAGAGAAAAACAAGTATCGTATATTAATGCATATATGTGGAACCTAGACAAATGGTACAGATGAACCGGTTTGCAGGGCAGAAATTGAGACACAGATGTACAGAACAAACGTATGGATACCAAGGGAGGAAAGACTCAGATGTAGAGAACAAACATATGGACACCAAAGGGGGGTGGTGGTGTGATGAATTGGGCGATTGGGATTGACATGCATACACTGATGTGTATAAAATTGATGACTAATAAGAACCTGCTATATAAAACAATAAATAAAATTTAAAAATGAAAAAAAATAATATTCAGTATTTAAAAGAAAAAGAAAAAAGAAAGCACAATCTAGCAAATTTTAAAAGGTATCTGTCCCTATGGGGCAACAAGTAGAATTAAGAAACATAATATGGTAATAGGAAAGTACAAGATGGGAGAATGTAAAAAAAGGGGGAAAAAATCACAGAAGAGATTCCAGTTTAAAGAGTACGTAAGTATTTCTAGTCTTGCAAAGCAAATATACAGAAATTATCATGCTCTGTCAACATATCAAGAGGGCCTAACAATTGGATGCCTTCATGAGAATTTGTCATTAAGGAAGAAAAACAAATATCCAAATTTTCCATACTAATACTAGTATGGATTGTCTACCTCAACCTTCATGTAACTATGTCACAATAATACATACGATGCCATTTATATAGCCCTTTATATGCTTTCTCATTTCATTCTTACAACAGTCCCTTCAAGGAGATATATTACCACTACTTTACTAATGATAAACTTAGAGCTCCAAGAGATTAAATTCCTAATAAATAGCAGAACAGTGCTTTCACTCTTTAGACACACGCAACGTTACAAAATAAAGAAATTTAAAAACTAAGCAGGAAGTTGCCATGGTGATGCAGTAGCAGGAAGGCCCAGATCTGCCTTCCTAGGCTGATATCAAGTGGTTCCAGGCTAATCAAAAGAACAATCACCATGAATAGAAATATACAGAAATGCTGTTGTGCTGAAGCACAACTGCTGTTTCAGAGTCCAGCACTTAACAATAAAGATACTACGTTAATTCAAAAATTACCTAACTTTTATTCATGCTTATATTGTAAGTTTTTTGTTTGTTTCTAAATATTGGAGTTATATCCCTGAAAACCACACACACAGAGAAAAAAAGAGAAGCAGTTATATAATACAGAATGTTCAATAAATTTTAAAGTGCTAGATTAGTACTGTATCATTTACTTTAAGGTTCCCCTTCTCATGATCTGTCCTAATTTCCCTTTATTCTCTATTCTAATTAATTCGATAACTTTTGTAGAGAAGTCAAATGCTCAATTCAATCTTTATACATTTAATCTTCCGGTGTTCACACAGAAAATTAATATCAAAAGATTGAACACAAAGTGCCCCTTCTTAAGAAAACCTCCTTTGGGGCTTCTGCTATTTAAGTAAGAGATGACAAAATCATCAGTTAACTGTGCTCCAATATGGATTATAACTGTCCCATATGGAAGATACTAGCCACATGTGGCATTTTAAATTTAAATTATTTGAAATTAATAAAATTTAAAATTCAATTCCACAGTCATACTAGCCACATTTCAACAGCTCAACAGCCACATGTGGCTGTGGCTATCATTCTGGATAGGGCAGATACAGAACATTTCCATTATCACAGAAAGATCTATTAGAAAGCAACAAGTTAATCTTCATTTGGATCTTCTGGCTCCACTCATTCCTATATTCCATACCCACTGATTTAATCAACAACCGACAAAGTGGTTAAAGTGCCTTTTCTCTGTTAAAGAAAGAGCTACATTGAATGTGTGTGTGATTTATAGTTTCTTGACCATATATGTAATTTATAGTTTCAGTGAATGAAGGAGTCCTTCTCTTACTCCAGCAGCTCTGACATTTGGCTCTTTACCATCATGCTGTCCAGACAGGGTAGAAGGCTCATGGCTCACTCATGGTAGAAGGCTCACTCTACCCAGACAGGGTAGAGGCTCACTCTTTACCATCATGCTGTCCAGACAGGAGAAGGCTCACTCCTAGGAAAGGGTGTTCTACTCCTATCGGGCTCAGGACTACTGTAAAAATCCTAGTGGCACAATCCTAAAAAGGTGGCAGGTAAAGTTTAGGAAAGCTTGCTAAGTGGAACAGACTGAAGCTTTTCCTCAGCTCACAAATTATACTTCTCTATTAATTAAAAAAAAAAACAGTTGTTTTTTTTTTTTTTTTTCAGAATAAAAAGTATAAGAACAACAACAAAAACTCACCTGCATGTAGCGAGAGGAGCAAACTGAACACCTTTCTCTTTGCATTCCCTTGTTATTCTTTCCTTTACATTTCTACAGAGATCTACAACCCTAGAAAAAAATAATTGAATACAATATTAAGTTTTCACATAATTATAAAAAATCTAATTATTGCTGGTTTATCAGCACATTCAAGTCAGAAATTCTCTTAACTAAAACTTTCATACTCATTCCTTCAAGAATGAACAAGATCATTGAAACTGGCCTTCCATTCATAACTTCAAGGGAGCAAAGTCCTTTCCCTTTTTGTCACAGGAAAGACAGAAGTCAGAGAAGCTTACTCAAGTCTCCTGAAGGCAGTTTCCTAAGCTAAGGAAAATCCAAATTCAAAATAAATTTAATTACAAGATTCTAAAAGCTTTTTAAAAAGCTCTAAAGAAAATGTTAATGAAAATTCAATTCTGGGTTATAGGAATACCAATCTATATACCATCTAAGAAGTTTTCCTTACTTTAAAAATAATTTAATTAATAATCATAGTGCTATACCAAATGTTCAACAGCCTATTTTCAAGCACTAAGCTAAAATCCAGCTCAACAAAGACTTACTGGACATGAACTATGTGTAAAGTTATGCTAGACAGCTTAATATGTTCAATATGAACAATGAAAACAGACAAGTGAGATATAGTTCTTAAAGGGGAGGGAAGATTGATAATATTTAACAATATTAATCTGTTTTTTAATGTGAGCTGTAACATATTGTTATAACCATATATTCTGTTTCATCTGGAAAATAAAACTCTTAAAGTATATATCAGCCATTTTATTCTCCAATATATATCCTGGCTACATATTGACACCGATTCTGTGTTTTAAACCTTGGTCTGTTTAGAATCATGAGAAAGGAAAAGATACCAAAGAAACTTAAAAGGTTGGCCCAATTTGATAAAAACAATAACATTTAAATGGATTATGCTTTACTGAACACATTAAAGTTATCTATATTTCCAATAAGAACAAAGAATAACTGAATAAGATATAAATATGAAAAAGGTTTTAGTGTTTTATTAGCATGTCAGTTTTTACTTTTATAGTGTCTGAAAGTTTTATAAAATCTGACTTTACAAAACAGCACTCAAGTTAAGTTCTGCTTTATTCTGTGAGAGCTGCAGGCAGATACAATTTATCAATGTTACCTATGCCTTATTTATAGAATGGTAAGGATCCGTGTTTCTTAAAAATCTTTCATAAAGAATTTAGATTATTGAAATTTAATGTCTTTAATTTGAAAATCCAACTTACAAAACAGATACTTTAAATATAAATAAAGGGACTTCCCTGGTGGTGCAGTGGATGGGACTCTGCGCTCCCAGTGCAAGGGGCCTGGGTTTGATCCCTAGTCGGGGAACTGGATCCCACATGCATGCTGCAGCTGGGAGTTTGCATGCTGCAATTAAGGAGCCCACATGCCGCAACTGGGACCCGGTGCAACCAAATAAATAAAATTTTAAATATAAATAAAATCTACTAAACTTTAATATCTACAGGAGTTCATGAATATTACAAATTTATAAAAGTAACAAGTTCTTTATCATGACCCTAGAAAACAGAATTCAAGTGTTACTTGAATGAGGTACTTTCTAGAAATTATTTGTATGGAGTTCTTTAAGTATTTTCTAACAGAACTCATGCAAAGGTCAATACAGTCCATTTGGACCAGTCACTACATAGGAAGTAAACAAAACTGTGTATACCTTTTTTTTTTTTTTTTGGCCGTGTGGCATGCAGGATCTTAGTTCCCTGACCAGGGCTCGAACCCGAGCCTCTTGCGCTGGAAGCAAGGAGTCTTAACCACTGGACCACCAGGGAAGTCCTGTACTGTGTATACTTTTAAATTCTTACCTGACCTATTAGCAAATTTAACACTATTGACCATTTCCTCCTTGAAAACAATTTCCCTCAGCTCCTCTCACAGCACTGGTTTTCCTCCAAATCTTCTAGATTTTATTCCCCAACCTCCTCTGCTAGCACTTATTTGTACAACTTAAATGAATCCTTTGTTCTTATCCCTTAAAGGTTGGGGTTTCTTGGACTTCTTTCTCAGGTCTTCTTTCTTTTCTCTTCATCCATTTACCTGTTAAGTGTCTGTATATCTCCTTTGGTTTTAATCACAAATCTCAAGCTGATGTCTCTAAAATCTTCAAATCTCCAACTCGGACCTCTTAGGCAGCTATTTTTATAAGGCTAAATTCTTACATTATTCCATAGTTCATTCATAGGAGTCTATGCAGAATATTCACTGAGCACCTAATAGGTGCAATCATTGTGCTAGGGCCACAGAGGAATACATAAAAACTAGTAAGACCAATAATCCTTTAAGAAACTTATGCATGAAAAGGCCAAGCAACCTAATAATGTGTGAGGGTTGAAGACCCTGATCCCATGGGTTGCTGCTAAACAAGGTCTCTACCTAGCTAAAGGTTTGAAAGAGAAAGCAAGTTACTAAATGGTAGCAAATAAATTTTATGTCAGGAATACAGCTGCTTTCCCTTAATTTTATTTATTAAAACTTCAGTTGAAGACGTTGTTTTAAATGAAAACCAAGTACGTAACCCTGTATAAAACAGATATAGTCAGTGAGTCAAAAAAGTATTTAAGAATATACAAGGAAAGTATAAAGAAAAATGAAAAGATAGTGCATGACTAGCTTTAAATTGATTGCAATTTAAAGACAAAATTGCAATCATAGGTAAGGAATAATTGATGACAAGGAAATTCATACTACTGAAGAAGTAACACTACACTAACCCACTTTCCCCAGTAAGAAAAGGTATTAAAGACTAAAGTGGTCTCTGAGACATCTATGAACAGCTCCCAAACTATATCTGCTGTTCAAACATGTCAGATGTTGATGAAGTGATAATCCTTTTTATTTATAAGATTTATTCCCCTTATTAAAATTTAGCATCAAAAACTGAATGCTGTGACTAACGTGTTGATACTATAAATTTGATTGCTATCTTACAATGCATGGACTATTAGCATCAATACAGCAAAAGTCAAAACCCATAGTAGATGAAGACAGTGTAGAAAAGTAAAAAGTTTTCTGGGGGAGGAAAAAAAGAGGTTAGGGTAGAACAAAAATGTTAAGATAGGTAACATCTAACAGGTATATTCAGGGGGATCTGTTATATCCTATATACTTTATTATAGATTTAAAATAGTAAATTTTATAAAGAAAAAGTAAAATGTAAGGTATACTAGATTAAAAATGTGCTAACAACCTCAAGAATTTTTTATTAGTTAACTCACAAGTCTATCTTTAATATAACCACTTCACATTTCCTAATCAGTTTTTATTATTAATTCCCTAACCAATATTTGTATGTATATATGTGTATAATTTAAAAACAGAAATTATACATAATTTCTTAAATTGGGTTTCTTTCAGAAATCACTTAAATTCAAGTTAAGATCTTGCTTAACAGTGTACATACAAATATCAAAAGCTAAATGAAATACTACAAAAGAAGGTTATATTTTGGGGGGACTTTTTAGAGAACATTTAAGCATATTAACCATTTAAGAATTTAAATCAAAGCTAAGTAAAACCACATAGTGACATTTAGTGTTCAGTAAAATTCTTTAAAATGTAAACTGCGGTAATAACTTCCTTCTATGGGACATGGACAAGTCTGTCTAAAATTTTAAAAATGGCTTGCAAATGTGACATTCTGATGAAGATATTAAGTTAAATAAAAGTGATTACCTTGTTTCAACGTTTCCTTACAAAACTTTAAAAGTTTACATATTCACACACAATAAATTACTTCAGCAATTGTATAGCATATTTTAATAATATCAGGCATTTTATTTCATTTTACCTGTCCCAAGGAGCAGAAGTCTCAAAAGATTCCCCTAATACATAGTATTCCAAACCCAAATCCTGTTAAGACATATACACAAAATTAAGAAATTACAACAGATGCAGAAGAGTCCATAATATTAGTAGTATTTCATGTTCATTATTAGTATTTCATGTTTCTAATTCAACCTCCTGGGCTCTTTACTATCTACCTCAAAAGAGCATGGGAAAGTGGCCCCAAGTGTGAGATATAATCTCCAGAAGGACAGAAACTTTGTCTTGTTTTCCTCTGTGCCCTTGGCACCAGGCAGAGTGTCTGACACACGGCAAGAACTCAAATATTTCTCTAATGAATGGAGTCTCTATCCAGAAACTGTCTAGGTACATGCAGAGAATACTAGCAGGACAGATTTTTAGTGGCCTAAACAGCAAATTAACCAATACCAAAAAGTGATCATCAGGATCAAAGGACCAGGGAGATAGGGAAGTTGGGGGAGGAGGGACTAGAGAAAGGAAAAGAAATATTTTTAAATCAACTTTTCTTTAAAAATAAATTAGAAAATAGAGTGTCTCTCTTTGTAGTGACTAAATAGATAGACTATCTGGAACCACCTCAGCTAGGAAAATATATTTTATAGCGTACAAGATATAATACTTATATGATAAGTAACTTATAATACTAAATTTTTTTACCCGGAGTACAATTCTGTTTTAATATCAAAATTGGAAAGAGCAATTCATAAGCCACCACAAAAGTGTAAAGGTATGAAAGAAAATTTTATAAGGTAGAAAAATCCTGGACTCATATGAGTACAATGATATGCTAAATTACCGTAGGTTAAAATTTAAGAAAATAAAGAAAATAATTTTATTCACTTATAGAAAAAGTATTGTTTGCAACATAAACTGATAAAAGAAATGAGATAACTTACTCGAATGTATGCAATGACATAGGTCAGCAAATAACCTCTCTGTCCATTATCTTCTCCAGCTGCTAATCCACTGTAATTAAAGAATACACTGTCAGTATATTTCAAATGAACTATTAAAAATATATAAAACTAACCAAACTGATACAATACCTCAAATAACTGCTTAACAGATTAACATATGTTACTTTACATCTCATTTTTATTTTAATCTCATTTATCATAAATGTATCAATGAGCTGTCAAGAGAATAGTCTTGGATAACAAAAATATTTTTAATATTCAGTTTGGTAATTAATTTTATGTCTACCAAACCAGTAAAACTGACTGATATGAACTCAACTACTTCTACTCATACTGTCAAAAGAACAGAGAATTAGCCACGAGAAACAAGCTTAAATAATCGTCACAAGCATAACAAGATACTTAAAATACTCTTATTTTACTCATATTATATTTTTACCTGTATATTCATGTATTATAGTCTTATTCATATATTAAGATTTGCAATGACTGACTAGGATCTTCCAAACACGAAGAAGTTTTCTGAATACTTGAGCACATAGTTATTTGGAGTATTAGACAAGGTGTTTACTTTATGGGATTTATGATTTAAAAGACAGACAAAACATACTTACACAGATACATTAAAATTTATGAAGCAACATACAGGCAAGTACAAGAGCAACAGTATGAACACATCCATTTCAATTGGAAAGTAGCTTTGTACAGAAGCTGTATTTGGTGATCTAGTTAGAATCAACCCCATATAACATATATTTCAGTCCAAGTACTCTGCTTTGTTAAAGTCATTCTAATTTTAAAAGACTATGAATGATTACTGATTTCCACTACCTTCAGTAGATAGTTTTTAATTTTGCTTTTTCCATGATCAGGCAGAAATTAAATTTTAAGTAGTCTTAGTCAACTAACTAAAACTTATCCCAAATTCTCAAAGTACCCACTAAAAATCCCTCAATAAAAACAAATAAAAGGAAAAATGTCTTTTCTTGTGGCTTTCTTGAGTCATGATTGATGGCTAATCTTTATGTCTCTCTTCTTAACCCTAACTGCGCCTTCTTGGTCTCAGGATGCTGAGCCCTTAACCATGGTGTTGCTTAACACTCAGGTTTTGAACCTCTGTGATTTGAGCCTCTTCTCATTTCTCTTATGAATTCAGTTAACACCTTTACAGTTAAATCCTTTCTTTCCCCGATGTTTTGTCTGAATTTGGCAGTAAGTAAGTAATACAATGTAGATGTACCCTTGTTCTACACAAATACTGTAAGGCAATTTTCAGCTAGGACATATGGGCTAAATCAGATTTCCTGACTTTGTATTATAGTTGGATATACACGAATTAGTGTCATCCAGAAGGAGTGGCAAAGACTTGACAGGAGCAGCTCTAGTCTAGAACTACATGGGGAAAGGGTATAATGAAATGAAGGGGGGCATTTGTTACTAGAATGTTAATGAGCAAAGAAAACAACTTAGGTCAAGCTGCTAAGATAGAAAATTAAGAAGAAACAGAAGACAATTCTGGGTTAGATGTGTATGGATGTTACGTTGGGGTAGCGAGTCAAATAAAGTTCCAAAACAAAAAGTAAACTAGTCAGAAAATTGCTGTGACAGGTGCTTGGAGGAAAATAGGTGAACCCAAACCTCAGGTAGATATGAATCTGAGTCAGACACTAACTCCAAGAGAGAAAAAACCCTACTGATCTAGGAAAGACACAGTTCATGCTAGGCCTACCGGCAGAAGGAAAGGAAAGAAGCATGAAGACTAGGAAAGGGTGCAAGAGACCATTGCTGGGAATCATACTCAGGTGCATTCTGAGTATGTACTTGGTGAGAAGTAGCAGGTATGAACATTTAGTAGGCCTGTCTCTCCCATATCAGGCCTACTGATATAAGATATAGCATCCTGATATATCAGGATGAGAAAAAGTCCGACTCTGCAGTCCCAAGTCAAGCCATTTTTCTTTAGACCCTTTTCTAATATCTGGCCAAGGGGAAAAAAAAGATCTGTTCCACTTGGAATCTAGTGTGACAAACCACACAGAAATATGCATTTTCTTACCCAAAGCAGGAAGAAACTGGATGTCCATTCTAAATTCATAAACCCCCCAAAAGAATAAAAGTCATTCTGGGTTCGCTTTTCTGAATCAAAGGTTTCCCTGCAAATTTAGCTTCTTGGAACCTCTCTTTTTTTGGCTTTCAGAACTATCTAGCATTCCAGCCAAAATTACTTTAAGATACAATATATAAACAATAGTAGGGTTTAGAAATTAAATGCTTCTAACTTGCCACTTTTGCAGCCACTCCAATAAACTATACTTAAATTCAAGTGCCTTATGTTAAAGTAGCAACATCCATCCCCTACTTCCTTAAAATATCAATTAACAAGGTTCTTAAACAAACTTAAAGCTGTTACATGAGGAAGGACTGGGAAGACTACTGAAAGAGGAATGAGAGATAATCTTGTTATATAAAAGAACCATCTGGTGAACCTAATCACACTCATGTTGAATTACATTAAACAATTTAAGCACTTTAAAACTAATACTTTAAATATAACCCTTTAAAAATAACAACAGCATATTACCTTAAGTTCTATGGTAAATGTCAACACATCTGTCATGATTGGTGACAGGTAATGTTTACTCCGCTTAGCTCTTAGAGGAGTTAAAGTACATTACTAGCAACCATAGATAAACAACCAAAGTATGATTATTCAACATTTGGCTATTATATTCTATTGGATCATATGTGTTCAAAGGTATTTAACAGTGTTTGCGTGGGTGTGGAAGGCAAAAAGGAAAAATGGCTAAGATAACTCACAAAAATGTTCTCAACTGTTGGGAGTACTTCATTAAAAACAATCAATTTACAGCCAATGAGGTGGGCTTCCCTGGTGGTGCAGTGGTTAAGAATCCGCCTCCCAATGCAGGGAACACAGGTACGAGCCCTGGTCCGGGAAGATCCCACATGCCGTGGAGCAACTAAGCCCATGCGCCACAACTACTCAGTCTGCGCTCTAGAGCCCGCGAGCCACAGCTACTGAAGCCCCTGCGCCTAGAGTGCATGCTCCACAACAAGAGAAGCCACCGCAATGAGAAGCCTGCGCACCGCAACAAAGAGTAGCCCCCACTCGCCGCAACTAGAGAAAGCCTGTGCACAGCAACAAAGACTCAACGCAGCCAATAAATAAATAATAAATTCTAAAATAAATAAATAAAGCCAGTGAGGTGGTGGAAACAGGATAAAACAAAAGAACAGAAAATAAAGAATAGATTGAAAATGCCCTAATTCAAAATAAAATACATGAGCTAAACTAACTTATGAAAACTTTATTAGAAAGAAACTTAGTGATGCTTTCCTCCAGCTAGTTATGCAGGAGAAATGATTGAGGAATGAGGGTTGGCAGGGTAGCATCTTATAAAAAATATCCTTGAATCTTTCAGTGGTTAGAACAAAGAACTAGTGCCTAGAGAGAACTGGGGGAAAACCGGGACTACTGCTGGAAAACCATGCGAAGATATAATTCCAAGTATCAAAAAATCAAAAAAGCCCTAAGTCACCTGCCTGGTGATAGCCTAGGGTTGTTCAACACAGATTTCTGCATCTAAAAGAAGGGTGCCAGATGAAAGTATATTAAGAAATTAATTATAAACATAACTAAGAAGTAGCAAATAATAATAGCAAAAAAAATGACACTCCAATCAGGGTCTAAGTTTTAATGCTTTACCCTTGCTTTAAAATACATACCTCATTTAATATAACCTATTTTTAATGGATGAATTTGATACAAGTTTGTTGTTTAGTTTAAGCAAATTGCTGGAATTAAATCAATAGTTCTGGGGCCTCGTTATCAGTATCCAAAGAGATCTGGATTCACCTTAAGAAAGATTCACTATTACTTTCAAGTTGTAAATGGCTGGTGTTACATGAGAAAAACAAAACTGGCATTACATGAAAAGCCAGTTCTTGATAGTTGGTGGCTCAAATTAAACTGACAACATGGTCCCAATAAATACCTAAAGATTAAAATATACTGTTTCAAGGGTGGCACAGTAATTAGGCATAAATAAAGTAGCATAAAAGATGTCAGGGAAAAATATTCAGTTTCATAAATCCTTTCAATAAATATTTAATCAAGCATCTAGTATATAGCAGGCATCAATGGTGAGGCCCCAAAAGAGACAGATCATGCCCTATAAAAAGTATGCATGCGTTAGGACAAAAAGGTCTTTTGTCATCAGCCTATCCCAGTCTAACAGGAAATGAGGCACATTACTAACTAGTAATGATTTGCTGGCTACTCTGAATTGGAACTATAACTATAGATCCCACGAAGTGCAATCTCTGGGTGTGTGTATGTGTGTGTGTGTTGGAGGTGGGGGTGGGGAGTAGTGAGATGAAATTAAGCAAATTTAACCTTACATACAGTGATTAAAATATTATAGCATCCATTTCCCTACAAATGACTCTGGAAATTTTTGAAATCCCAAATAAACATTTAAATATATAACAAAATAACTTTTAAAAGTTTCAGTCTCTAATATTTAAGGCTAAGTAGATATAAAAGATTTAATTTAGATGTAAAAGGTTTTCATTTAAAACTCCTTTAGTGTTTGTTTCTCACTAGTATCATGGGTTTAAAAAGTTTTTAAATCAAATTATATATGTACTCCACATAACTTAGAAACTAAAAAATATGTACATGAACATTTCAAAAAATTTCAGAGATAACCTGATATCCAACCCATCTGCTCATTAAATGAAACCTTACAGCACTCTTAACTAATTTAGCTAAAACATCAATAATTCCCAAAAAGGTACTGTGGAGAAGAAAAAGTGAAAGATTACTGAATTTCACCTTTTACTAAAAAAATTATAATTCCACTTGCCAATTTCAGAATAGGGTAAAAATAAAACTGAGAGATTATTTTTCAATGTTCAAAAGCAGTACAAAGGTAAAGTAAAAATTAGGCCCAAGATTAGATCTTTTTCTAACAATACTGCACTTTAATACTAAGTTCAGAAAATCCTAAAAACAAAGGGCTGAACATTATATATGAGGAAAACACATAAAAGTGGCGCATTCTAAGACATATGGCTCCAAATTAAGCGTTCATTTGTTCTCATAAAGAACAGCAAGAAAGGGAAAAAAAAGAAATAAAAGTAAATATTTACAAAGAACTCAGATTAAGGATAATGTATGTGTATGAAATATTTTAAGCTCTGAAATTAAAAAAAAAAAAAGACTGGTATCCAGAAAACTGTTTATTATGTACTTAAAAAGGAAAGGAAAAAAAATGTAGTCCTGATAAATGGCGCTTTCACTATAGTTCTCATCGATCAATCTTATAATCCATCAAGTGGACAGACAGAAACCACCCAATCATTATTCAGTTGGTTACAGATGTGAAATGTTTTCAGTTTCTTTATACCAGCACAAAACAGTAAGTGACAGGAAGTGGAGTATAGATAATTTATCAAATACTTTTGATTAAACACAATTTCCTTTTAAAAACATACTTACAGCATGTTTTATACATATACTATTACCACTAAATAGCAACATGACTATGAATTTTTTTCTATTTCACTTAGCACAATAGAAAATAATATAAAATTATCATTAATGAAAAAATACAATAAGAAGATTCACTATGTCACATATACGATTAGACAAGTAAGAGCAACATACCAGTCTAGCCTTCTACAAACTTTAGAAGTAAACCAGCATATTATTTCAAGTTGACTACCATATACTAACATAAATTTAATACTGAAAAGTGTACATTAACAACTGCTTGGAGATATCAGAATTTTAGCTTAACTTTCTCTTGGCATTATGAACTGAAAGCCATACCCAAATTTTGAAGCAATGTCATACACTTGTTTTTCATGTTGAAGAACCTTCTCACGGTCCCCCTCAAACAGTAATGTAGCGACACTTAGCTGATTTGGATCAAATCCTTTAAACTACAAAAGAATATTATTATTACAGATAAGTCTTAGCCTACAAAATAGTAAATCAAAACACATTTTGCTCTTTTTTTCTTCTGATCTGAGCTCAAACATACCAGCTCTTCAAAATCTGAGCTTTGGAACTTTACATGTCAATCAAAAAGAATGCTTAATGTACCTATTTAGGTCATCACAATAGAACAGCACTCAGGAAAAACACTTCATTTTACAGTATGCCAAGGTATCAATTATAATGATATATTGGTATGGAAATACAACAAATTAACTTGTAAGAATTATAACTGTACCAAAGAATCAAATAAAACTACCAAAATGACAGAACATAATAAAGTAGCAGGATGTTGGGGGGGAGTAAAAACCAGCAGCACCCTTACATATATACCACCAATAACTTCTTATTAAGTATTATTTTCAAAGGAGACCTTATGTATAAAACAATATAAAACATCTAAGAATAATCTTAAAAGGAAATACATAACTTCATTAGGAAAACATGTCTTAAAAAAAGATGAGAGAAATGTATGTTCCCAAATGCATAAACTAAGTATTATAAATCGGTCGACTTTTGCCCAAATTAATATACTAGTTTATTCAAATTTTAATAAAAACCTCAATGAGCTTCCTAAAATGATGAAGAGTTTCTAAAAATTTTCCAGGATACTGAACAGGTAGATAATGGTGATAACAAGGAAAATTCTGAAAAAATAAGAGGGAGAACTAGATCTACAGCAATTAAATCCATTTAATTTTTCAAGAACAAAAGCTCATTAAACAAAAGCTCTTTTCAAGAACAAAAGCTATTACATAAAAATGTCTTTTTCTTATATAAGTATACGAGAAGATGTCTTAGACATGGCAAACCAATATAAGAAAAGCAAGGGGCTTCCCTGTTGGCGCAGTGGTTGAGAGTCCGCCTGCCGATGCAGGGGACACGGGTCCGTGCCCCGGTATGAGAATCTGGGAAGATCCCACATGCCGCAGAGCGGCTGGGCCCATAAGCCATGGCCGCTGAGCCTGTGCGTCTGGAGCCTGTGCTCCGCAACGGGAGAGGCCACAACAATGAGAGGCCCACGTACAGCAAAAAGAAACAAAAAACAAAAATGAGAAGCAAGGACAGGTTAGTTAATGATGCTGTCACAACTAGTTAGCAATCAGGAGAGCAAGAGGTGAAGATTAACTTAGTTTTTTATCTCACATCATAAAACTGAAATAAAGTCAAACAGTAATAAAGACAAAAAGTTTTAAAATTCCTTTTTAACAAATAAGTGAGAGAGAGAAGAAAATGGTCCTAATCATAGTTCTGGAGGAAGACAGGCTTTTCTAAGCTTAAAAGTAATTAAATAATCAAAGGAAAGATATAAAAATTAGAAACTTTTGCACTGAAAGAAAAAGAAAGAAAAGAAAGAAACCTTACTAAAAAGGAGTCAACTGACTGGAAAAATTATTTACAACATTTATGAAAAAGGCATCTAATAATTCCATTTTTCAAAAGGCACACAGCAAGGCATTAAACCATTCCCCCCACACCCCCCAAAAAGAACAAACAGAAGTCGTTTGTTTGACGTTGCTACCCCTAGCAAAATAACCACATTCAACTAATTCACAAAAAATTACATCTAGGAAATACAGGGAAATGGTCAGTCTCATTAGAGTTTCAAGAAATATCAACTAAAATAAAATACTATTTCCCCCCTGGATTTACTAAATTTAAAACAAAACAAAACAAAAAATCCCATATGTACTAGCAAGGATGCAATCCAAAAATGACACATATGCATTGTCATGTGTCAAAAGTTTTAAAAAATGAATACTTTTATTCCACTTCTAGATATCTACTATGAAGGAAAAAATTCAAACTATAAAAAATGTTATATGCTAAAACTGTTCAATGAAGTGTTATTTTTAGGAACTTCAAATCCGGGAAAGCTTTTATATTTTCTGAAATTGAATGCATAATTGATTTACTTGATTAAATATTTACTCCAACATAAAAAAATAACAATTATGAAATGTACACAGCAACGTGGAAGAACATAGGTGTGTGTGAGGAAGAGAAATCAGAAAAAATTAATATCCTAAGCATTAAAAAAAATTCTTACCTTTGTAATATAAAACTTTTTTAATCCATCCAAAAATGATGTAAAAATAGAGGAAACCTGAGGTTTGAGAGCATGACCTAAGAAGAAAAAAAAGTTCATATTTTAAGTTAATAGCAAACTAATTTATCTATGTTTTTCATAAAAGCAAGAGGCTACTTTAACTTAGTATCCTAAAAGAAAGTGAACATTTCCATGACTTTAGTTTTTAAAATCTCCTATGTTATACATATAACACATTGGTATTAAGATCTACATCTTTTAAAAAGTCACAAACAACTTTTTGTTTACCAAACTCCTTCTTGGGTTTTTTTTTAAACTCAAATTACTATATGTAATTACTACTACACATAGTTTAGGTTATCTTTCAATGGCATAGTTTATACATAGTAAAATCACTTCATTAATTTTTATTTCATTAGGAACACCCAATGGTGGCTAGTTCTACTTTTATTTTTTTTAATTATGCAGAAACCATTCAGAACTATAACCAAATATGGAGTCAATGCCAAGTTTAAGATTGTTTCTTAATTAATTCTTAATTCATCCAGAATTGTTGGCATAAAACTAGTAATTGCTTCCTTAATTATACCCAGAGAGTTAAAATTGCCAAAAAAACATAAATGGTGTCTCAGAGTCTGTTAAATTAACATCGTTGCCTGCGGATTAAGCTTAATTGAGTAAAAGTCTTTTACTGTTTTCTCATTGTTTTCAGAATAGCAACTTCTTAACTCCCATGACTATAATATTTAAGAGTCAAGCATCTGGCCTTAGTACTGTGAGCCCAATTCAGAAAAATTTGGCACACCATTTATATAGCATTTTTATAAAGACTTTTAAAGCCTCTAGTAAATCTAAAATTATCTCCAAATAAAACATTTATTTTTTAAAAAAAGGCTTTAAGGTTTTGGGATTTTGTTTATTTTTAAAGTGTAGATCCCTTCTTTTAAAATAGGTGCAAACTAGCTTTTTAGAAGGAAAAAAGGGGGGGTTGAGAGAGATATTTCTGGAGGAAAAATCACTTGCAGTCTTTTTTTCCATTCATCTATTTTTTTAAAGTGAGAATCTGAATCCGTAATATTTATTACATTCTTACAGATTATAATAAAAAACTATATTACATAAAAGACCAAGTAACCAAATAAATCTTAACCAGAAGCTAAGAGTTAGGTAACCATGCTATAACCAAAGCGAAAAACAAACAAACAAAAAATAAAGAGCAGATGACATAGACACGAACCTAGCAATCTTTTTGAGATCCTGGATCACAAGAGGTTTGTTTGGGATTTTTTTTTCTTTCATGGTAACCTGTCAGAAATGTTCTCTAGCATAACCAGTGTTTTTAAAAGATACCATTTCTAGCATGTATAAAGTTAAAGGTAACACATCATCAAAATATTCACTCACTGTCCCAAATGGAATTCAGCCTACTTTAACAGCAACTGGAAACAAATATATACACATAAATGTGTGAGTGTGTGTATCTGATCCTCATAAAAGACTTCTGGTCCACATATTTTTACACAATGTATGAAGATTCCAAATATTACTACTCCAATATGGAATAATCCTTAAGGGTATATGTTCATCTTATCACACTGAAATTTAAATGCACAACTTCTATTAACACTACTGTGAGTTAGGCACATATATGCCTAATACTGAGTGACGTGATACCCTGATGGAATATGCTTCAAGCATAATTATTGCAAAAGTGATACTAACTTTTAAGTGGGTCAGGTATTAGTATTAATTAAGAGGATATTAGGGCTTCCCTGGTGGCGCAGTGGTTGAGAGTCCGCCTGCCGATGCAGGGGACACGGGTTCGTGCCCCAGTCTGGGAAGATCCCACATGCCGCGGAGCGGCTGGGTCCGTGAGCCATGGCCACTGAGCCTGCGTGTCCGGAGCCTGTGCTCCACAACGGGAGAGGCCACAACAGTGAGAGGCCCGCGTACGCAAAAAAAAAAAAAAAAAAAAAAAAGAGGATATTATTATCTTTTACTTATTCTTAAATTAATGTTGCCTACCGAACCAATTACATTCTAAACATATTCCAGCTATTGTGTTTTATTTTATATAGAAAACAAAGGAACTAGTTCCTAAATTTACTAGCTAGACAGTTTGATTAGTGATTTTTTTTATTGTTACAGTGTTAATTAAATAATTTTAAAGGATTCTATAAATCCTTATGTTTCAAGGAAGTGCTCCAAAGCACTGGAAAAAGTAGGGCTTTGGGGTCAGACAGATTTGGGTTCAACCCCAGCGCCACATATAACTTGTGGACTTTGGCCAAAGTATTTAGCCTTTGAATTGTTTATAAATTGGAAATACAACCTTGAGGGATGGTTGTGTGCTACTGATAATGTGCTTAGCACTACCCTATATGCTATTCAAGATTTGTTTACCCTCTTTTGCTAATTTGATGATTAAGTCAATCAACATGTGTCTGTTATGTGACAGGTGCAGGACACATAAAAATGAATAAGAAACATCTCCCAAATTTGACAAACATTAGTTCACAGGGAAAATATGTAGATCGTTTCAATGTACTCAATGATATATATCATTTCAATATACTGAAAATGTATCATTTCAATATAATATATTGAGTTGTGTCAAGGAGAGGGGTGATAATAAAAATATTAACAACTAATAATAAGGCTTGTGCTTTGTTAACAACCAATACGGTACAAACATTGACCAATCAGCCATACAGTTGGTACAAGGTCCCAGACACCCCTTGCTGTGCTAAGAGTTATTTAGTTGGTTGATCATGAAGTCATGGCAGGATATGTAGGTGGGAAAGCTTCAATGAATACTGAGAAATCAAAAAGGTTACAGACTGCCAAGAAGCATGATCAGATCTGTACTGCTAAAGGATCACTTTGGTGGCCAAGTAAAGGGCAGAAGGAGAGGAGACACACTAAAGACTAGCGAGAGTAGAACCAACATTAGAGCATGTTCCTAGGTACAGTAATGAGAATGTGGAACAGGGATGACAGATAACCAAAAGGATCTTTCTTTGAACCTACATTTAAATTGTTATAGATCCCAGTTATAAATAAAATCTGGCCATATCATAATTAGTTTTACATAGATGTCTATGTCCAACATAGTTTACTATCATTATAGCATATAAACGGATAACACAGTCTTATTAATCAGATAGATACATGGCTCTCTTCAAACCTAGATCTCTGAATGCAGGCCAAAATACACAGGAGTCTTGGTTTTCATTTGATTTAACTATTTCATCATTTATAGGACACATTTATCTTAAACTTTTATCAGCAGTATAGTATTTTGAAAGTAATTTACTTAAAGAAATAAAAGCTGTGACTTAGAAGAATCTAATTTTAAAACGAACCCTTGATATGTTATCAACCTGAGTTCCTTAGTTCAATTTCTATATAATTATGATAATCATTCTTCCCTAAATTAAAATCTAAGCTACTTGTACACCAAAGAAAAGCCTGCCTAACTTGGCCTTTAGTATTTATTATTGAACAATCATTCTGGGACTATTTTGAGGGTACGTAAAGTCTATAAACTTAAATCCCAAACTAAATTTCAGCATATGGAAAAATTCAGAAGCAGTAAAACTAGAATTGATAAGATGATAAATCGTGTCAGAAAGTTTAATACTTTAAGCAAAATAGGAAGAAAAAGAAACATGGTTAACTCTTACTGAATTCTCCACCTGAATATTCCATGGTCAACTTAAACACAACCCATTTGTAATGTCTTTTCCCCAAAATCATCTCTTCTTCTAGACTGTCAATCAATCAGACATCAGGAGTTGCCCTAAACTCTTCCCTTTATTTAACCTTCCACATCCAGTTGGCAAACTGTTCTTTGGAATATCTATTCTTTACTCTCTATCTCCACTGCTGCTGCCTTGAACAAAGCCCCCAGTATTTGCCTTTTTAACCATTTCAACTCCTCCTTCATGCTTGCACCATCCTAATCCATCCTGCATAATGCTAGCAGAATGAGCTTTCTTTCTATAAAGCTGATTTATTGTATTCCCTCTACAAAGATATCCCTCTTCTGACAAGATAAAACCCAAATCTATCCTGCAAAGCCCTAGTCCACCCATCCAGCTTTATCTCTTGTAACCACTTTCACCCTACAGGCTATTTGAGCCACACAGAACTATCTGAAGAAGTTCAAACACACCATTAAGGTTTTACAATTTCATATTTTTTGCTGATAAGTGAACAAAAATTTGGTAGGAAAGAAGAGACTGTCTCAGGCAAACTTCTATTCACCTTTTAAGATTTTCTCTAAGCATCACTCCTTCAAGGAGGCTTTCCCCACGCTCTGCCTCAATCTCAAGCAAAATCAAGTAGGATCAACACCTCCTTCATCTGCACCAGGGTATCCAGTGCAGTCTTCTTTCACATCACCTCTAACACTCCCGCACTCATTCATTTATACAACTGTCTGTCCTCATTAGACTGAGAACTTCCTGAAGGACAGGAGCTATGACATTTATCTTTCTAGCTCTGTACTCAGTACTCTTCCTGGCACATAACTGGTGTTTCATAAGTTTTTGTGGCTTAGTGAGCAGATTTTTAAAGTACCATTCCTTACTTACCAAACTGAAATTGCTGGTTGTCCATGAGGCGAATAGATGCAGGAGCACATCTCTGTTTTAAAAAGATTAAAAAAATGTGATACAAATTTAATACAGTAAAGAAGCTAGAGAGGTAGAAAATGAACGTCATCTTTCTGTATTTGAGATTAAGAGCTTAGTTCCTAAGGACACATACAGGAAAAAAAATGTTAACTTTTTATATAGTTTTATGACAACAAATAAAACATCAGTGGCTTCTATAAAGTATTTGGAGAGAAGAAATCTATGTACATAATATATATATATACATACACATGTTGCCAGATCTTTAATTTATCTGCAGCAAGATCTGCTTAATGCCTAGCAAAGACCTGTGGAAATACCTAAAGGAAATATTAGGCCTCAAAGTAGATTATTTTAAAACAAAGTAGAAAACTTATAAACTAAAATCAATGCCTAGAGCATTATGCCACTGATGAACTATAATGGGTCACTGCGCTCTTATACTCTTTTAAAATGAGGAAGATGGTGGTGGCATTTTTGTGGGCCAAAACACTTTAAAAATTTAACTGAGATGTCTTCATAGATAAGGACTTGTTCTTTTCATTGCTTCTCATAATCCATTTTAAATAGAAAAACTATCAGACAATGTGCAGAATTCTAAGATCTTTCAAGGTTACTTGTATGAAAACAGCAACAAAACTTGAAGCATAACATTATGTATCTAAAACATCTAAAACTGCACCTGTGTTATATTTATCTAGGCACACACTAAAAGCTGCAAGGAAAGAAAAATGAAGAAAGCAAATATTCAAATTAACTTTGTGATGCTACAACACTACCATACAAACACTAGCAAGGTTTAAGTTAGCTACAGTTTTTCCAAAGAATTTAAGTGAGATTTACCCTAAATGGGATTTTTATATTCTATGCAACTTTTTAACATGGTTAAACTTCCACCAAGAAGCTGCTTTCAGACCACAAAATTTTGACTGTCATAAACTTTTTAAACATTTATCTTCTGAATAACATTTATCAATAAAATATCAACACAATGCTGAGATTTATAAAAATAGAATCACTCAAAAGAACAAAACTTATATATACCTTAACTGTGTGTTATAACATTTTTGCTATTATGTGCTTTTAATTGAACAAATACTTAATTTTATAAAACCACTCATAATACATACTTTATTTTACCCAACAAAATGACTGGTTAGATTCTTATTTTGAACACTGTATAATTTATTTCCTCATCTTTGATACTAAAGGTGAGATAATACAATCTATATTTTTAAAAAGTCATTGCCAAATCTGAAGAACAATATTAGGTAATTTATATGCTTAACATAACAATAACCTATTGCCTTACATTTTATAGAATCCTATTGTGTACAAGCTGTTTTCATATGTCTTTATTTAATATAAGAAACAACTCTGTCGGGGTAGCACAACTGGTATTATCCTCATTTTACAGATGAGGATGTAAGAACCAGAGAGACTAAAAGACATGCCTGAGGTCAGATGACTGTAAAACAGTAAAGATAGAACTAGGACCAAGATATCCTGACAGCTAGATGAACGATATTTCAAATACGCCACACAGCCTCAAAAAAAATAAAAAAATTAAAAATCACAAAAGACACACACATACTTACACACACAGAGCTTTCAAGTCACATTTGAAACAAAAATTACATGAAAACCATCTTACTTGCTATTTTGCGGTGTTAGTAAAAGTACATTTATAAAATAAAATAAAAAATCTACAACCTGAGTACTTTCAAACCTTGATATAAACGTATCTTTGTAGTTGGGTTAATGCTTCTAAAAACATTACCAGTTTCCAAAATACTAAAGGAAAATCAATTTTCCTGAAACATTTTTATTAAAACAGGCACATCAATTTCAAATAAAACAAATAAAGCCTGAGTAGACCACGTTTCTTTTCTTCATAAAATAAACAGAATATCACATAACATATGTATTTATATGTTTGGGCTTAAGCACACCAGTAAAATATGAGAAAGAATTCAGAGCCATTCTGTCATTATTAGAAAAAAAACTTTTAAATTCCTACCAACAACTTGTAAATTCCATCTCTTACTGCCACTCAGATTCTACTTCACCTGTATCTATAGCAGGTGTTATTAATGAAAACAGCCCACATAAGCACACATATAACAGAAAATGGAAAAAAAGCATATTACATTTATAGTAAATTTCTAGTGGAATTCAATCTCTGAAATAACTAAAATACAATATGTAGGCCTTGATAAGATCTTAGTTTGAAAGACTATCCACAAAATACATTTTGGGGACAACTGGAATAATTGATTATAGAATGAATACTAGATGGCATTAAGAAATTACTGCTGGACTGACACAGAGAACAAACTAGTGGTTATCAGCTGGAGTGGTGGGGTGGATATAGGGGTGGAGAAGTTGGAGGTACAATCTATTGGGTGTAAGACAGGCTCAAGGATGTATTGTACAACACAGGGAATACAGCCAATATTTGGTAGTAATTATAAATGGAAAGTAGTCTTTAAAAATTGTACAAAAATTTGAAAATTAATTTAAAAAAAAGAAAACCAGGGAAAAAAGTACTGCTGATTTTCTCATTTCCCACCAGGAAGAGGAATTAACCAAAGGCTCAGCGTGCCCTGCCGGAACCAGATTAGGGCCTGAAGCAATCCGGAGGTTTTGTGGCCAGCTCACAAGAAAGCGAGTTGAAGAAAGGAGCTCAGGGGCACTGTAATTCACAAACCTGCAGAGTTATAAATGACAGCTATCATCCACAATAATGGTATTGTGGCTATAAAAAAGAACACCTTAATTTTCAGAAGATATATACTGAAGTATTTGGAAGTCAAATGTCATAATGCAACTTAATTTCAAATGGTCAAGGAAAAATACACAAATATGTAAAACAAACAGCAAAAAGTCAGTAATTTTTGCATATACAAGATGAATATACAGGTGACCACTGTACTATTCTTTCAAAGTTTGTGTATGCTTAAAATTTTCAAATAAAAGTTGAAAAAATAAGTGAGAAACTTGCTTCAGGGCACTTGCTACATACAGCAACTGATATTCAACTATATTGAATATGATTTTAACTTGACAGCTGAGTTATATAAACTAGTCAGTCATCCACTGCTCCTATTTATACTGAGGCAGAGTTGATGATTACATACTAATATATCGAAAAAAGAATTAAAAGCTATAGAAAGCTTTTTGTATCTAGATAATAAATATTAAATTCACTTTCAACACTGACTTTTAAAAATTATCAAAATCAAACCAACAGCTTTAGTAAGTCTCATGTTTTAATAGTGCCACATTTTTTAAAAAGTCAGTGAATGGAGTTTTTCAGTTATTGTCACAAGTAAATTCTCATAAGCAAAGCACAGCATCAAGATTGCTTTAGATTCTCCAGTAAATAATCTGTAAGTAACTATGCATCATTCTAAAAATACAAAGGAGGAAAAGTTTCTTAGAATTTTAAATCAGAAGTCATGACACCTAATTAAATAGGAGTCCTTATAATCAAAAAGCCAAAATAATATTACTATTCTTAAAAAACATTCAAACTAATTACTATGCTTACAGTTAAGATTAGGTTATATTTTAATGCTATAAAACTACTTTGGTAAGTAAAAAAAATTCAAAATAACTCCTTTAAAAGTTAACGACATCACAAATTCTGAGAATTTGAGCTCTAAATTCAATCCCGTGCTATACAATTATGCTCTGCTAGAGTATTCCATAGATGAGGAAAGGGGAAAAGGGTCCTTGAGTTAAAGTGACCCCTGGTGGTAGGTGATCAGAACTAACCTGAGAGGGGATATTCTTACCTAGAAATTTTAATGGTGGGTTGATGATACATTCAGGGTATTTAAGGAACACTCAAACAAAAATTGCTTACTTGAAGTGGAGTTAATGAAATAACTGATTTTGTTTTTATTATGATAAATGCACTCTGACTAAAATCGCTTAGGTCACCTGCTTGTACTTTATACTTTAGTAAATAGTCTAAAAAAATCATATGAGAAATTCATTATGGACTAATAAATAAATATCAATATCTTTGTTTTATCTGAGCAAAGAAGAAATAAATAAACCACAGTGACCTCAAAGCATGGGTATATGACTGACTAAGTCAAATTGCTGCCAATTTCTTCACTTTAATGACGCTACAACCAGGAATTTACTTGAATACGTAACCTGAAAAATAAAAAACAACCACTCTAATTAGTCTTATAAGAAACACATCAAAAGATTTCTGCAAAATTTGTTTTTATGGAACTAAGTCATATTGCTTTCTTGTCACAGGGAAAACCAGAACTCGCACTTCAGATGAGACACTTTGTTCGAGGAGGTATCTTAGTTTACTAGCTACTGGCGAAAGAAATTCAATATTAACATGTTTCATACGTCTGCATGATTTCTTCTAACTTCATAAAGATAAACTATAAAATATAAGCACTGAGTGGCAGTCCTCTATCTCTGGTATCTTGGTTAAAAAATGAATAATCTTTGAATTGAAAAGGTTTGTTTTTTCAAGGAGTAAATCAAACTTTCAGTATAGACTCTGGAATGGCCTTAGTTCCTGAGCCTTAAAACTATTCTGGGGATAGTCTACTAACATACTGTATCAGAAGCTAATGCTTCAATACCAAACCCCTTGTATATGGCTATACAAAAATTTAAGCACAGAAAATTTTATCATGATATGCAGTATCTTTGGTGACTGTTAGAAGACAGAAACCATGTCTATTTAACTTACATAATATCAACTGCACTATGTTGGATATAAAGTTAAAAACATACTCTCCCACATAAAAAACACAATAAAATAATTGATATTAATTTAATTAATAAATTAATTTTAAAAGTCCAAAAAAAGGATATGTAAAAGAAGAGAATTCTGTTAAATCAAATTTCTAGGTATAAAAGCTTAAAATGTAGACAGAATTAGTTCTTCCTCTAATAATAAATTGGAATTGACACCACAGATGAAATCATGCAATATTTAAGGCTACTGGTAAACTGGTTAATCCTATTAGAAAGGATACACTGGTTTATAGCCAGGAATCTACACTGTAAACAAGAACTTTTTTAGCAAGAGAATTATCTCTTCGTTTTAAAGAATGAAACAAATACATAATACAGGGTAGATATTTCCCTCCACTTATGTTAAGGGAAGGGGCAAAAGTTAATGCCAAACAGTCTCCTGGTCAAAATTGTACATTTTCAGTTTAGTAAAGGTGTAATGACTAGAGCATGTCTCATAACTGTCCTCAAGTCTGATACATTTTGCTGGATCACACAGTAAAGAATCCAATTAACCAAACATTTGGCTAGGTTATTCTCTCTGCTTCAGAGGGAGAAAAACATGACATCAAAAAATGATTTAAAATAACAATTCCATTTTCTATATGTAACAAATTATCTCCAAGAATTATCACTTAATATAAATAAGCTTTAAATGTTTTACAATATAAGTGCTAAACCTAACTCCTTTCAATTGATTTGAACCCCTACAGGATAAATCAAGTTGAAAACAGAACAATTCAGAATTAAGATATAATAGTCTGAAGTGTCAGACATGAACTATGTATATCTTCTGAAATTACGGTCTAAACTCACTAGAAAAAAATACCCTATCAGTTTAAAATTGTTTAAAATAAAAGTGATAGTAGGTAGAAAGGGCCATCCCTTGTCAAAAGAAAAAGCTGCCTTTTAATCTGTAATTCTAAAAACCTAGTTCTGATGCTGAGAAATACAGTTTTCAGAGGAATTTGTACTAATCCATGCCACATACAGACAGTCAATGTTTCCTCATAATGGAACAAATTGGTCCTCTCTCAATACCACAAGGCATAACTCCTAAGTTTTTATTGGCAAATGGTGGGGGAAGATCCCAAACTTTGTAAATTGCCTTTGAACTTGTTTCAACATTCCATGTTCCCTTCAACCCTTGTAAAAACATACTTTCCATTTTAAAACAAACAATAAAAGAGAAAAATAAAATATTATATCTGACACTGATATTCTGATTAAAAAACACAATTTTCCCCCCTCTTGAGAAGCTACAGTAGGAAATCTACTCTCTGAGAAAATCTTAAAAGTCACTTACCCATCTACTGAGTAAAGCTGGAGATTCTACTGGACTGCCACTTATGAGATAGAATCACATTAATCTTCCACTAAATCTTCCTTTCTAGCTCCTCACAGGCAGTGAAGTACTGAAAGAGGACAGTTCCTCACATGGACAAAGATCAGATGAGTGACCTTAGTAGAATCCTTCTGCTGCCAGTATAAAGTTGCTTTATTTATTTCCTTCAGTAAGAATAGTGATAAAAATATACACAGAGCCCACCTAGCTATCTGTGAACAATCATGTCCGCTCCTTTCCAAAAGATACTCATCCAAAAGCAACTTGAGTCTGAAAATAGTGCAAAAATGGAAGTGCTATGAAATGACAGTGAGGAATTACAAGCAGCCAACTCATTACTCAATCAAGAATTTGGCACAATCGTAAACCGTGTACCGTCTATTTTAATGGATCTTAATTTCCTTGCTATCAACTGAAATTCCAAATCACAAACTGAACAATGACTAGTGCCAAAACCTGATAATTTTCTCAATTTTTCTGCTTGAGAATACTGTTATAAAGCAGGGCAGCATATACAGTACCATTCTTGACACATGAGATCTGTATACTCTATAAACTAATACACAAATGTCCCTAAACATAATACATTTACCCATTTCCAGGAAAGGGAATGCCTCTCTATATGTGCAGTATAACAAGAGTAAAAAATGCAGGTTCCCCAAATAGTGGAATATTTCCAAATCCCAGTAACTATTCTTAGCAAGTGTTTCATTCATAAGAGCAACATTTGAGAATGAAATATTATCTATCTAGACTTTTCAATCAGTTTCAAGTAAGGCAAGCTTTCCAATTACATGGTATTTTTGTCTCTAAAAATTATCTACTACTAATTACAGAGAACCAAATTATTAAAACTATAGATTAGAAAGGAGCTTTCTTTTTGACCTGGTTTTTAACCACAGGGTGGCACTTTCTATCAATCATCACCTTTATTTATCCCAAGATATATATATTCAATATAGTTTTGTGTAGTGAATTTAGATTATGGTCATATTGTAAATATACAAAGAATTTTTTTAAAAACTTTTACTGATTTATGCAAAGATGAAGAAAAATGTTACCACCTGCCTTTCATTATCACAAGTAGCGCTTATCTGTTACTTTCTATCAGGGGCATATTAAATTGTAACAAAAACTGCAACAAATTGCACCAACTATTTATGTTTAAATTCAATATTTCCAATTTTAGTGAAATTATAAATTAAGGATTTTGACATATTTGTACACCATTTCTCATTAATGAAACCTAAGACAGATTTACATGTGAGTGTTTTTAATGCAGAAAAGCAGATGGAGCACTCAGGAAAGCATAAAATATGTCTACTTCTATTCCAAAGATCATATAACAACACTTTTTAACAAGTCTACTAAATCTGTGTTCAACAGAGGGGAGGTATTGTGAAGGGGCAGAGTTGGCCAAGATAGACTGAGTGTGTACTCAATAAGATCTTCTGTTAAAAATACATACAAATCAGACTAGTTTTATAAATTCTGTAATTATTTTAAAAATCTAACTTGGCATTCATGTTTATTTTGCCATAAAAAAAATGGAGGCAATAATGGTCAACTAAAAACATGCCATTCAAAACTTGAACAAGAGGGACAATATAAACTGTATCTTTAATAATAAAGCTTTTCTTGGAGGGGTATAGTCAAGCTTGACAAAGATGAAAAGTAAATAAAAATAAAAGTAGTTAACACAAAGAATGAACTACAATACAAACTGAAAACACTAGAATAAAAAATATCTCATTAAGGAAGATTTGAAATTAATCAGAAAATATTTATGGAAAATATTTGCTTTTATTTTGATTTTTAATTGGTGAATTTATGGTTATTTTCTTAAAAAGAACAAAAAAAACCCAGTTTCCCATTCTTCTAGGAATGAATTCACAGGCAAAACCATAAGGCTCTTCAAGTACTTCTTTTGTTTCTTAATACCTGAGGTATCTTAAATTCGAAGTTACTTCCTTGGCCTTTAAGTGATGGAAGGGTTTAGCAACAAGTTATCAGAACACACGTGAACTTTACTGCTCGGTGCTCAAATATTTACATCTAAAACTTATCTCCGCTCCTTTACTCAATAATTCTACTTTTAAATATTACCGCCATCTCGTTATTTTAGCAAACATAGCATAATACTAGCTCCTTAACCGTAACATAATATCCTCAAAGTTCAAGTGAATTAGGAGCTCTTAAGGATTTCAACATCACTTCTGCGTTAACACCACCAAAGTAACCTGCCACAAGTTCAAGAATGTTCATTCCATGACTATACGTGTCTTTTAAAACTCTTCCCTTTACCTAGGAGTAAGACAACCAAGATTAAGGAGCCTATGACTAAATCTTGATGAAGGGAAAAAGCAATCTAATGATAAGTAACTGAAGCTACTTGGAAATTATAAAAATTACCCTTCTCAACTGTTAGATTAGGTGATCATATAGTTGGACTTCTTAAAAGTGAGAAACTGTAAGAAAGAATGAGTGTCTCAGAAGGCAAAACTGAGTGTATGGAATAAAGAGCACTGGAAATGGTAAATATGTGGGTAAATATAACATTTTTTTTTACTCATTTTATATATTTTTAAAACATTAATAGTGGTTTGGTTCTCTTGGAATGGTATGAAGATAAGACTCAGTATCTTACAAAGTCCGCAATGAAACGGAGTACTTGCTAGATACCACTCTTTTTCCTTATCAGATCCTCCCTCCACCCTACTCTGAATACCCAGAAGCTGACCTATATGGGTCACATCAGAAAGCTACCTTGCACTCAAGATTCAAATTGGGTATAGTTGATGGGAAGTATTAAAGAACTCTGAGTTTGGAGAAAGCAAGAAGAGAGAGGCTGGAGTATATTCCCTTGACTTCCTCCCTGCTGGGAAATGTTGAAATAAGAATTTTTTCACAAACCATTATAGTTTAAACAATGAACCAAATGTCTAAAGAAACGCAAGAACTCCCACACTGATACACACAACTAACGAAGAAATAAAATTACTTGGCATTATTTAGTCTTTTTAAAACCCTTGACAATATATCCCTTTTTTTAAAGAAAGGGAAAGTGGGAATTCTTCTTAGCTTATATCTAAATATCTTGTATTATGTTATACTATATTATATTACTTACTTTAAGATATAGCTAAGGAAATATTAAAAAACAAGTAAGGCCTAGTAGCAGCACATTCTAAGAACTGATAAAGTTTGATTACTTATATTTAATTTCTGTATTTTGGGGCCATTAATATTCAGCCAATTATTTTAATTTCAATAAATATCTTAAGAAAAATGCAATATTACTGCAATTAATCACAAAATATCTTACCCAAAAATAACTTAAGAAAACATTCAATAAAGGCAGAGACATTTGAAGCCATCAACTCAGGTACATACCTTACCTTGTCTTAAAATTGTACAGCATTCTTTAAACCAAGAAATAGATGTATAATACTCAAAGAAATAGCAACTGAACTTAAAGGGACGATTTTACAACATTACCTTTTCATATAGAACTGGGTAAAAATCACAAATATAACACAACTAAATATGAAGATTATATGTGACATATCAAAATCAATTATGCAGCAGAATTTTTTTAAATATAAATATATATGGGTGGGTTTTTGTTTTTGTTTTTACCTGTTTTGCAATTTCTCTTAAACAGGCTACTCCTCGTTCAAAATTAGGGAAAGCTACTGAGCCATACTTTTGGTATTCAGGGATTGGTCTGATTTTTATTGTAGCTTCTGTTATCACACCAAGAGTTCCTGAAAAAGAAGGGGGAATAATCCAATATATCACATGCCGATTTTCTAAATCATATTTAAATCTACTTTATCTATTTATTCTACTAATTTATTCTATTAATCATATTTAAATCTATTTAATCTATTCTATGTGGGGAATAATGGCTAGTCAAGTCCTTCTAGAAAAACATCTAAGCAAATTTTATAATTTCTAAAAAAAGTTTTTGGAATACATTTTTCTTAGCTATGTATAAATATTTTAAAACATTTTTAAGGTAACCTTTCTCCAAAGAGGTTAATTTTAAATAGTTTTTAAAGTATTACAACTTATTAAAATTTAAATCTGAAAAACAACAGGTTTTTATATCTCATATGCATTCAAACAAAAGTATATTTTGATAGTTGAACCTATTTTTACTATGACAACAATTTATTGGGGCAAAAAGAATCTAATTTTCTATGAGAATTTAAGTTGACAGAAGAAATTAGAGAGACTATTACACTTTGCCTTTTTTCCTAAGAATTCATACGAAGAAAAGATAAAGGCAATATTAAGATGCCCTTAGAAGAAAAAAAAAACATATTTCAGAGACAAAATAGTTATAAATAGCTAACAGAAGAGGACCATCAATGAAACAAATGTCCTTTTGTTTATTACATGGAGGAGTGGAGGACAAATCAGAGAGGAAAAATGCAAGTTAAATATAACTACATGATCTAAATAGCTATGCTAAAATATTTGAAGAGACATGGTTAAAAATAATTGCATTCAAGAAGCCAAGCTTTCAAAATCAGTGCTTTCTAATGTACAAATGATATGAATTATTATTAATACTATTAAGTAAATTTTCTTAGAATCATGAAAAAAGAATGAAAGGGAAATACGAAATTATAGAACTTAATTACAATACTAGAAATAAGTTAAAAGTATCACAAAAATCAATGCTTCCAATAAATTTATAATATACCTAAAATAAAATGTTAATATATAATACTGTAGAAGATTAAAAACTACGAGTCCACAAAGAGTAAACTACATTATATCACAATATGTTTGTCACATATACAAATGATTTCCTACTTAGATAGCAAATACAACCCTATTATGATTTGTAAAATCACAAAAGCTCTGCAAACTTGACTGACTAATATTTGAATAAAAAGATAGATATATCTTGTACATTTTAAAAGACAGTAAGAGTGACTAGACTTTCTCTTTTATTTTAGCATCTTTATTGAGATATAATTCACAGACAATAAAATTCACCTATTTAAAATGTAAAATTCAATGGTTTTAAACTATTTACAGATATATGCAACTATCACTACTATCTAAGTTTACAACATTTTCATCACCCCAAAAAATAAATCCCATACCCATTTTCCCCACACACACCTCAGCCCTAGACAAACACCAGTATACTTTCTCTCCAGAAATTTGCCTATTCCGAGCATTTCATATAAATAGAATCTTACAATATGTGGCCTTTTGTGACTGGCCACTTTCATTTAAATGTTTTCAAGGTTCATCCATGTTGTAGCATGCACTAAGTACTTCATTCCTTTTAACTGCTGGATATTATTCCATTGTATGGTATGGACATTTGGGTTTCTACTTTTTTTTTTTTTTTTTAAACTCAATTACCAGCTTGTTATAAAAGGAAACAACTCAGGAACAATCAAACTGAAGAGATGCACAGAACAAAGTATGGGGGAAAAGGTGCAGAGTTCCCAAGCCCTCTCCAGATACACCACCCTCCCAGCACTTCCATGTGTTTACCAACCCAGTAGTCCTCTGAAACTCATAATTTAGGGATTTTTATGGAGGCTTCATTACACAGGCATGATGACTAAACCACAGATATGGGTGACTAATTCAACTTCCAGCTGCTCCTCTCCTCTCCTCTCCTCTCCTCTCCTCTCCCCTCCCCTCCCCTCCCTAGAGGTCAGGGGGTGAAGCTGAAAGTTCCACAGGTTTCCATATTTTGGCTACTATGAATAATGCTACTACAAATATAGGTGTAAAAGTTTGTATGTGGATATATGTCTTCCTTTCTCTTGGACAGATACACGAACTTTCTTAATTTCAAAAAACCTTTGACCCTATTCCATGTAACACTCTACCTCAGCTACCTTTCCTGAGACTAAGTTCTAGGCAAGGGCAGCTAAGAGGTGAGGAGGGGCTCACTTCTTGCACCCAGCCTAAATTGGTGGGACAGAGACTCTACTTTGAGTGATGCACTAAGCCTATGGTCCCAACCCTTTGCCCTGGCTTGTAAAGGGCTGGTATCTTGCCAGGAGAAGCAAACCAAACCTACTTTCCTTCCTCCATCTCCCCAGCACTTAGTTTCTAAAGTAAGGGTGTCCTCAGAGAAAAACATGCCACTGTCCCCATACCCACCTCCACAGCCTTAGCTCAGAGATTTTGCCAGAGGAAGAAATAAGCCATAACACAGCTCCCAATCTTTTTTTCGAAGATTATTTGCAACAGAGCATGAAGAAGTTCAAGAGGTTTCAAGAATACTCTTGAAAACAGTGGAGGATGTGGTAAAAGGTAATTGGGAAGACATAGATAAATTTATTGGAGATATAGGCAAAATTGCAGGCCTGGTTTGCCTGGTTTGCCTGGTAGAAACCTGGGGATACTGGAAGTCCTAGGTACAGCGACCAGGCAAGAGAAAAACATAAAAGACATAAAAACTGGAAAGGAAGAAGTAAAACTGTCTCTATTTGTAGACGACATGGTTTTATATATGGCTGGCTATACCATGCCATTTTATATAAGAGATAAACATCTGCAAATTCTGTTATCTGCAGGGGTTTCTGGAAGCAATCCCCTGCAGACACTGAAGAACAACTGTACAGAAAACCCTAAAGAGTCAACCAAAAAACTATTCAAACTAATCAGCAAATTCAGTACAGTTGCAGGATACAAAATTAACATACAAAAATCAGAAGCGTTTCTATACATTAACAGTGAATTTTCTGAACGAGAGATAAAGAAATTAATCCCATTTACAAGAGCATCAAAAGCAATAAAATACTTAGGAATAAATTTAACCAGGGAGGTAAAAGATCTCTACTCTGAAAACTAGGGCACTGATTGAAAAAAAAAAAAAATTGGGGCTTCCCTGGTGGTGCAGTGGTTGAGAGTCTGCCTGCCGATGCAGGGGTCATGGGTTCGGCCCCGGTCCGGGAAGATCCCACACGCTGCGGAGCGGCTAGGCCGTGAGTCATGGCCGCTGAGCCTGCGTGTCCGGAGCCTGTGCTCCGCAACGGGAGAGGCCACAACACTGAGAGGCCGCCTACGGCAAAAAAAAAAAAAAAAAAATTGAAGAAGACACAAGTAAATGGTAAGGTATCCTGTGTTCATTCATGGGTTGAAAAAATTAGTATTGCTAAAATGTCAGTACTACCAAAAGACATCTACAGACTCAATGCAATTCCCATCAAGATTCCAATGGCATTTTTTACAGAAAAACAAACAAAAATCACTCCTAAAACTTATATGGAACCACAAAAGACTCCAAATAGCCAAAGAAATTCTGAGAAAGAAGAACAAAGCAGGAGGCATCACACTTACTGATCTCAAGCTATACTCTAAAGCTATAGTAAAGAGTATGGTACTGGAATAAAAACAAACAGATCAATGGAACAGAATCAAGAGCCCAGAAATAAACCCAAGCATATACAGTCATATAATATTTGACAAAGGAGCTGATAGTACTTAAAGGAGAAAACACAGCCTCTTTAATAAATGGTGCTGGGAAAACAGGACATTGACATGTGAAAGAATGAAACCTGACACCTATCTTACACCACTCAAAAAAATTAACTCAAATGTTTAAAGGCTTGTATGTAAGATCTGAAACCATGAAGCTCCCAGAAGAAAACATAGGGGAAAAGCTCCCTGACATATGTATTGGTAATGATTTTTTGGAAATCACACCTAAAGCACAAGCAACAAAATAAAAAACAAATAAGTGGGACTACATCAAACTAAAAAGATTCTTTCTGCACAGCAAAAGAAACCATAAACAAAGTGAAAAGACAACCTACAGAATTGGAAAAAATATATGCAAACTATTTATGTGATAAGAAGTTAATATCTAAAATATATAAAGAACTCATACAACTCAATAGCAAAAAAGAAATAATTCAATTAAAAAAACAGGCAAAGGACCTGAATAGACATTTTTCCAAAGAAGATACACAAATGGCCAACAGGTACATGGAAAGATGTTCAACATCACTAGGGGAAGGAGGCAAGTTGAAACCACAAAGAGATATCACCTCACACCTTCCAGAATGGCCATTATCAAAAAGATAAGAAATAACAAACACTGGCATGGATATGGAGAAAAGGGTACCCTTGTGCACTGTTGGTAGGATTATAAATTGGTGCAGCCACTATGGAAAACAGTATGAAGGTTCCTAAAAAAATAAACATGAAACTACCATATGATCCAGCAATTCCACTTCTGGGAATATATCTGAAAGAAACAAAAACACTAACTCAAAAAGATATTTGCAGCCCCCCATGTTCATAGCAGCATTATTTACAACAGCCAACCACAGAAATAACCTAAGTGTTCATCAATGAATGAATGGATAAAGAAGTTGTGGTATATATATATACAATGGAGTATTATTCAGGCATAAAAAAAAATGAGGAAATCCCACCATTTGTGACAACATGGATAGACCTTGAAGGCATTACGTAAGTTAAATAAGTCAGATAGAGGAAGACAAGTATTATACGATTTCAATTTTATGTGGAATCTAATAAAAATAAACAAACAATAAAAATACACCAAACTCACAGAAAAAGACATCAGATTTGTGGTTACCAAAGGCAGAGGGTAGGGGGAGGAAGGTGGTCAAAAGGTACAAACTTTCAGTTATAAGATAAATAAGTATCAGGGATGTAATGTACAACATGATGACTACTGTTAACGCTGCTGTATGATAAACAAGAAAGTTGTTAAGAGAGTAGATCCTCAGAGTTCTCATCACAAGAA